CAAGCCATTCTTTTGCTCCCAGTTAACGACGTACTTGGAGTCGTTTTGTTTATCGGCAGCCATTTTGAACAGTCTTCTTATCGAGGTAGGCGTAAGTGGTTGTCATCAGCGTACATTTCAATTTGAGAGCTGATGTCATCGGGAAGTTTATTAATGTAAATTAAAAACGGTGTTGGACAAATGATGGAGCCTTGGGGGACAGAGAAAGAGAGAGACAGAGAGAGAGAGTGGGGAATGAGAGAGAGCGAGGTCATGTACGGTCTGAGATATATACATATACAGAGATAGATAGATAGATAGATAGATAGATAGATAGATAGAAAAAAGTGATCACGAGAATGAGATACATATGAACTTGCTAGATAGATATATTGATATGAATATCTTGAGATGGATATGAACATCTTGAGACATATAGATATGAACATGTTCAGATAGATAGTAACAGGTTAAGAATGATAGATAGATGGATAGATAGATAGACATGAATATATTGAGATATATAGATGTAAACAAATATAAAGAGATAGAAGATATGAATATCTTGAGATAGATATGAATATCTTGAGATAAATATATCTTGAGATAAAGAGATAGGTAGATAGATATGAATATCTTGAGATAGATAGATAGATACGGACATGCTAAAACAGATATGAACATCTTGCGATCAGAAACAATTTGAGATTGATAAACACTCTCTCTTTCTCTCTCTCTCAGACACACAAACGCATATATATATATATATATATATATATATATATATATATATATATATAGATAGATAGATAGATAGATAGATACGGACATGTTGAAATAGTTATATGAACATCTTACGATCAGAAACAATTTGAGATAGATAGATAAACACACTCTCTCTCTCTCTCTCTCTCTCAGACACACACAAGCATATAGATAGATAGATAGATAGATAGATAGATAGATAGATAGATAGATAGTGAGCAACAGAGATATATAGATTATGTATATGTAATCAACACGTGATGAAATGTCGTGATTATTCTGAACAGTGTCTATATTAATCTGCCTGTTCTTATTGGGTCCCATACCAATTAATCATGTCGTGTTGTTGGATAAATTGACACAATCTGTACGTTAATCCACCTGAGACGGATGTCTATGGATAGAATTTAGGGGGATTTAAATGGAACTGGATATTCATAGCCGGGCAACCTCAGTTCTTAAAGAATCTGAAAATACGTGCAAGCCATAAACTAACGTAACGAAAAATAAATTTTGCCGCTATTGATCAGTCTCTTTCATCGATTTATTAAAATCATTGATAAATATTTCCATGGAAACGATTATGTCGGTGCTATTTGGGAAGACTCTTCGGGAATTTTTAATACATTTTCTTATTCACTGAAAATTCGTGTGCTCGAAAATGCATTTAAATTGATTGTACTATAGGAGATCTGTTTTCAAATCAGATATACCTTTATATCACGATGATGTGCTGGTAAAACACTATCGGAAATAATTCATCCATTACCACCAGTTATTTAACCTTTTAAAATATCTAGCAAAATCTATAAGCCATTTCATAAAGAAATTCAAATTCCTATTTACATTAATGTCAACTCCAATCACCCAAACTCAATAATTAATTAATAATAATTAGTTAATCTTTCATACTGTAAACACTAGAATGTAAAATTTATCGTCTAACAAAAAAAAACAAAAATCAAATAATGAGAACAAAATAACTTATAACGAAGCTATCAACATGACTAATTTCGAACAAAAATTATTTTACCATAGTAATTTTTATCATTGGAGTATAATGAAACAAGTAATAGCACAAACAGAAAAAGAAAGTTAAAAAAAAAAACTATCCAATGTAAATATTGGCAGACATCTCAAACTTAATCGACAAGCACTTTAATCAAAATAACCTTCTACAGAAGATATATTTAGCTCTAACTGATAATCCCTCTTCGTGTTGTGATCTCCTGATCTAGTTTTCCTCTTAACTGTTCCCACATTATTAAACTTATTCACTGTTCTCTTGATTGTTTTTTAACGGGCTTTGAAGATGGAAGCCAGACTATGAATTTTGCTACGTTTAATAAATGCCTGAATGATCTTTTTCATCTCACCATTGCTAATTTGGGAAGACATAGTGGGGCTGACACAAAATGATTCTGATCCGCTCTGATTCTAGGTTGAATATCTCAAAGGGTTTTTCAGTGATTCTTACCACGTCATTGCTAAACGTCATGGCTAAACAAAAAAAAAAAAAAACTCAGTTCGTTTACTGTTTTTTTTTTACATATTATAATTTATGCGGGATGGAAAATTATCCCATGCTGTTACAATATTTTGTGGATCAGTTTTAATATTTTACATTGTTAGGATCCAATTGGATTACATAACAACAGATTTATTACATGTAATATATATATATATATATATATATATATATATATATATATATATATGTACAAAACTATCAAAATGAGTTATTCCTGCAACAAAGACATGCAGAACATTATTAGCACACACAATAGCCAAATACTAAAAGCATTCCGGAAGACAAAAAAAAAAAAAAAAAAAAAAAAAAAAAAAAAAAAAAAAAGAAATCAACACATCTGGTAACTGAAAAAAACAGGGCCAATTGCCACCTCGGATGTACCTATAATTCGGGAAATGTGGTATACCAAGCTACCATTTTCCCAGAAGAAAACATCAATGACAGTACTGAGGAGGTGTTATACAGTCTGTCTGTCTGTGGATATATATATATATATATATATATATATATATATATATATATATATATATATATATATAAATAAAGAATATCAAACATAATCTTTTTTTTCATTTCATTTGGTATTTTTTGTAGATTGAGAGCTGCTCTTTCTTGTTGAGAATTCTCATGAAATAAAAATTATTACCTATGGGATTTTAAGTGTTTGATATTCCTTAATTAATAATAATTTTGCTCTGTTTTGACATTTAGTTCTCCCTGCATGTATATTCTCTATTCTTACAGAAATTCCATAAGGATTAACATATTGTATCATTAGTATATATATATATATATATATATATATATATATATATATATATATATATATATATATATATATATATATCAAAGTCTAGAAGAACGAACAGTAAGATCACTGCGTTCAAAACATTAATTTAAGAACAGTGTTTAATATAAAAATTACACCCGTAAATATTTATTTATTTATGCAGTGTTACATTAGAACATGCACATATCCACTATAAAATTGTACATTTTTGTTTCAACTTCAAAAAAAGGAAAACATTTTATGAAAATTTCCAAAGAACGGAAGTGGATGATATTTCTTTCGATAACTGTATTTCTGAATAAAAGTTTTTAGTAACACCGTGGTTCCCCACCTGATGAGACGTTTAAAAACGGTTTTCCATTTTTGACGTTGAAACAAAAATGTACAATTTTATAGTGGATATGTGCATGTTCTAATGTAACACTGCATAAAAATATATATACATATTTACGGCTCTACTTTATATATATATATATATATATATATATAGACAGATTATTTTATTTTGTCTTATACGAGGTCTTTGTGAGCTATGGCCGAATGAGAGATAATCGGATTGTGTTATCATCGAACATGTTATCTTGGGAGTATGTAATCTAAAACTTCTGCAACTAATGCATTTTTCCATATGAGAGCACAAATAGTGGCTGCTTCACCACGGTAATGCATCTGCACACTACGTACTGACCATCCTGTTGTTTCTAACCAAGATGATTATCGTCAAACTTGAACATCCTCCTTATTCCGCTGATTTTTTCCTTTATTTTGATCTCTTTTCCTCCACTTCAAGGAGATCATCAAAGGGACCCGTTTTGAACGCGTGGAGGCCATCGTGTGTTTCATAACGACAGATCTGAGTGACATCCAAGAAGAATCGTTCTAGAAATACCTAGAAGCGTGGAAAAGGGCATTAGACTCGAAGGGGTTATTTTGAAGGAGAACCATGTAGTTTATTATTTGGAATTAAAATAAAGTGTTTGTGACATCAGTCCCGTTTCTTTTGAGAAAGACCTCGTAGGTACTTCAATTATACGACTAAAATTACATTGACATTGCATATCTCTGACGTTATTCAGTTAATCACGTGATCATAATTAAACGAGACATGATATTTTTCTATTCTCCAATCTCAAGGACATCATCCAAGAGACCCATTTTGGAGATGTGGAGGCCATTAAGAGTGCCATCACGTCAGATCTGAGAGGCATCCAAGAAATATCCTTCCAACAGTGCATATAAGCGTGGAAGAAAAGGATGGAAAAGTGTATTATACTTGTGTGGGTTATTTGAAGGGGAAACAATATAGTTTGTTGCTTGGAATTTAAATAAATTGTTTGTGACATCAGCCCTGTTATTTTTCAGCCATACCTCGTATATTTTCTGTAACAGACTTTTGTACACACACCCATACATTATTAGAGAATATTTTCTTTGAACACTTTATACAGATTAATGACCTCTGATATTTAAACTTTTTTTCATCAGTAGTGTGAACAGAAATATGACATTTGTAGAAATCTTTCTTTCTGAATAAAGCATACCGCTAATTGGGATTTTGAAAACGTAAATAAGTCATGATGACTACTTTTTCTTGACACAATGGACAGAAAAAAGACAAGCAAACCATTTAATTTCCGTTTTTTTTTCATTTTTATAATAACTATTCGATATTATATTATATTATAAACATACGATTTATATGTATAATCTTCTTTTCATATACTGTGACCCTCCAGTTCGTGGGCAGTCATGGCTCTCCCCAATTAAATATTTGTCCCGTTATTATCAATCCAAGACTTTTTTCCTGACATCACTTCATACAAGCTGCTTAGCCATAGCTTTCCTCTGCCCAGCTTCCTTTTAATATTTCATCTGAGTGTCAAATTCTCCAAGCCTTCTTTTTTCATGATATATCCCAGAAATATCAGGCTTTCAGCCACAACACGTTGAAACACCGGTTCTCATACGATCACCGAAGTTAAGTAACGTTGTGCTTGGCCTAGACCTAAATGGATGACCGCTTAGGAATACCAGATGTTGTAAGTTTAGATGTGCGGTTGGTGTAAAGGATGATGGCTAGGAATGAGTTCCAATACACGTTAGGTTCTTTATATTCACTTACGCGCAAATACACTTTAGAAAAGTATGAATCCACCCATTTTATACCCAGCTATGGGTTAATTAGTAAAACTTGTCTCACTAACCTATTATTATCTCCAAAGAAGTAATAATCTAAAAATATTTTATGGCTTTAAATAACTTCGAAAGGGTTGATAAGCCATAAAAACGAACACTTTCCTTTTGATTGTAGGTATCAGTTTCTTTGTAGATTATATTTCCTTCAAACATCCTAATTGTTCACGTTCCATGTCCACGGCATTAACATCTTTCGTAGGTAGAACCACCTCTCATTCGCTTGAAGATATTCCTTTATTATTAAGGAGATTGCGCTATTTCTACCATATAGAAGATTAAACTCTTACATAGCAGTTCAGCAATCTTTTCTTTGTTTCAAAGTACATTTTCCTTTTTCTTAATACATTGCTTTATTTCTATTTCTCATTTAACGAATTAAGTGAGTTCATCAGAAAAGAAGAAGAAAGGCGAATAGGACATGTCGGATTTATTTAAATTATTCAGCGGTATGATTCTTAGCGAATTACACGACCTAGCAGATAAACTTAACAACATAAGCTGCGCTGAGGACAATGTGTTAATGGCTGATTCCGAAGGAAAACTGAAAGACCTATGAGACAAGATAGTCGATGAAATTAAAGAGGAAAAGGCCAACTATTAATCTTCAAATGTAGGCAAGTTGGAAACAGGCGCGTGGACAAAATGAAAAGCACAATGTCTGAATTATGCATCGCAGACGACAAACAAAAAAGTGCGGAAATTCAATTAACTAAGCAGTGTAAAAAAAAAAGACGACTTAAATATTGACAAAGAAATTCGAAGGCACACTGAAATAGCGAAATATATATTTACAAGACTAGGCATGGTATTATCGGATTGAAAGATAGTATTAGAAACGAATAAAGGACTGCTATATATAATATCTAATTTACTGTATACGAAGTGTTGGCTGAGAATAGTCTATGTAGATAACGACGATTATAATTATGAATAACAAATGCTTAAATGTGAAAACACTATGAGCGCATCACATATAGAAAATAAACGGTTTTAAGTAAATAAAGATTAGCAACCAGGGCTCTATCCTTAGTACTACTTGATTTATAATTTTCATTAACGACCTTCCCGGTGGCATCAGCTCTCAACATGGCGTCTATGCTGATGATACAACCATTTACTCCTGTCTGAATACAAACTTTGATCAGTCCTATAAAATCAAATTGGCGGCTGATATCAAAAACGACCTTCAGTCTGTTGTTAACTGGGACAACAAATGGCTTGTTAATTTTTAAATGTTAATTTTAACGCTTCCAAAGGGCATTTCGACTTGGGGCAAATGTTTCCAAGCTTGTCCCGCGAGATCAGTTACGATTGAATAGCGTGTTCGATCCCCACTCTGTGCCCGGTTCTTTCGGCCTTGTGTCACATCTAAGCTAAGTGGTGTAATTAGCAAGCTCGTATGACTATATCAGTTACAACTAAATAGCGAGTTCGATCCTCACTTGGTTCCCCATACTTTCGGCTTAGAAAACACCTTGTGTAAATACAGCATAATTTCATCACGACTGAAACTGGAAGAGACAGACAAGGGTTTCTACATAAGGATATTGCAACTTGAACAATATATTTAACAAATTTTAGGATTTAGAATGAAGCTGTTTTTTTTTAAATCAGAAGCAAACTGTTTTATTATTTGTTCATATAATAAAAACAGAAGGTTCGGCGAATATAAACTTCTCAGAAATAAGAGACAAAAAGAATCGCAGGTACATTATATCTTTCAACAAATAAGTAAAGGAATATGTACAAAAAAGACAAGGTATATGGAAGCAACTATTAGAGACAAAAAAAATAGGAAGTTGTAGAGAGCCATAATTTTCGATATTTACCCCAACATACAGCAGAGAAAAATAACGAAATACAAAATAAACAAATACATAGATCTGTATGTATTTCTAAGATGAGGTATTGTAATAATTTATACTATTTACATTGTTCAGACTGTTGTCCTCATCTTTTATTGCCATATTCACGACTTTTCGGCCGTTTTATGCCCCGGCCTTGTTTCGTTCTACTTGCAAGAACATATGATCTAGTAGATACAAGCGATCCTTCAATTAATCAAAAAGTGACTTGATCTACAATGTTGTGTGTCCGATTACTTGCCGCAGCAGAGATGAACAGAAACATATAGAGTTGAGTTACAGAAGAGAAATAGCTGAAACTCAGATATCCAGAAAAGGCACATGGGAGTGGAACAATCTACCCAGTGGACTAAATAAAGTGTTCGGTTTGAAATTCCAAGGTATATTACCTGAAGAAGGCCGGAGCGTACAATGACATTTATGACAATAAGGATGAGGGAAACAGTCCGAACAATGTAAATTGTGTAAATATATAAACTAGATTCTGGCTTATAACAGGAAAAGGCAGAAAGTTCTTTGAATAAAATGGATCACAACAATTCGAGTTATAATACAATGTGTGGTTTTTTCCCTAGGTCACGGTGAAAAGCAACTTTATCACACTGTGGATTCCAATCCTGCGCTGAGTAGCAAGGTAAAGTTAATAGTAACTGAAAAGCTGCCTAAATATTTAAAACATCGCAAAAGACTGGAAAAAGAAGATGAGAAACTTGAAGATGATTTTCGTCCTAGTTGTAGTTGGACCACTGGAATCTATCACCCAAATACCTATAAAAATGTGGAACAATGTACATTGTGTAAGTAAATAAATAAATACATAGTTTTGCTTTACATGTATGACTGATTTTGCAAGCACTTCAACGTGTGAATAGATTAGCTTCAAATGTTCTAAGATCCAGAAAGATCAGGTTTCATAAAAATTATTTTAAATTTATTTTTTCTGGACTCAGACTATCAATACTGTCCTCAGAGCCAAGCATTCAATCTCTAGCTTATCTCAACAAAAATGTTACATGGAACTGAGTTAAATATATATATATATATATATATATATATATATATATATATATATATATATATATATATATATATAAAAGGAAACCAAGAAAAGAATAGGTAAATCCTCTGAATAGATTTTATATTTACTCTAATGTTTTGGCGTCACAAGAAAATAATATCTTCTGCAAGAGAAATCGACTTAATATCTCTCTTTTCATCTCAGCCTTCTAGAATCCGTCAATAGCATCTCATCAAGGGGAGACAACTAAACAAGTCAATTGAAAAATAAAGTAGTTGTCTTTCAATTAGTGTTGCCGTTTTCGGCGGAAAAGCGGCAAGCATTATAATCATTTAAATCAACCATACTTTCTTTTTTTTCAGTTTCCTTTCTATTTTTTACTCGTAATTATCCGCTTCTTTTAGTTTTACGGTCGTTGCTGTTGCAGACGTTTTTCTTTTGTTTTGTTTTTTGTCGATGCTTGTGTTGAAATCTGTCTTTGTTTTTTCCCTCTGTTTTTTTTTTTTTTTTTTTTTTAAGTGACAATATCTTCCCAAAAATAGATTCTAACGCAAACGCCATTTTTCTATTTTTCCTTCACTTTTCAGAAAATGTTTTTATACATTTACCATGTCGTGAGATATTTCTGCCACCGTTGTTTTTTAATATCCTCCTCATCATCATAATCATCATCAACACCACCACCACGGCCATCACACAGTCGGGACGTGGCAAGAGTCTTACTGCCCTATTGCTACTTCCATCGAAAGTGCTTTATTTTCGGCCAGTTCTAACCTTCAGGGCCAGGACGCACCATGCCATTTCCATTTTAGTAAACCACCCACATACCCATTGTATTCCGTTGGTGACGAGTAAGTTCCATTAATACAGCTTCTTACAGCGAACCATTGTTCTGGGGAACCGACATCCAAGAAGATGTTTCTCCGATCACTACAACCTTAGCTTGTTCAAATATAGGGTTAACCGTTATCTTTCCCTCCTATCCGCATAAACTTCCTCTTATTCTGTAACTCTCTAAGTCGAGTGGTTCCTGAAACTTATACAGGGTGAATCCCACTGCAAAAAAAAAAAAAAAAAAAAAACATCTCTTCGTGGTTTCTTGTAGACTTACGGCCATATCATGGTGAAACACTAGTTCCCGTGTGACCGCCGAAGTTAGGCAGCGTCAAGCCTGACCCATAACTATATGAGTAACCGCTTGAGGATACCAGATGCTGTACGTTTGGACATGTAGGTGGTGTAGTGGAAAACGGAATTGGAAATCAGAGAGCCAAGTTTTAATACCAGTCGGCTCCGTTATATTCACTTACGCGCAAATAAACTCTTCTCTCTCCCCAGCTATGAGTTAAATAGTATCAACAAATTGTTATTATCTCCCAAATTTTCTTACAGTCTAAAATAGGTTTAGGCTTTAGATAACATGTAAAGGGTTGCTAAGCCGCAAGAAAAACAATCCAATTATTTAATCAGTCAATCTTTTTTTTTATTTTTTACTTTTTCTTTCTTCGATTTAACTTTTTTTGCTTTCACTTCGCGGTTTCTCTTCGTTACGTTTCCTTTCTTACTCTTCCTACAATTCCGCCTTCTTCCTACACGATTCCTTTTATTTTCTCATTATTAAGAGACATTTCTTTTTCTCTACACACACACACACACACACACACACACACACACACACACACATATATATATATATATATATATATATTATTTCTTGTCACATTTCTGATCTTAGTTCTATTAAACAACATTTCTTAGAAAAACATAGCCATGTACATAATATTAGAAAGATATTAGTTGATAACTCAATAATACTGACACATACAGAAAATAAAAAGAACGTTCATATATACATTAAGACGAAGCTAGCCACACTCAACAAAATTACATTTCAAATTAGTCACAACACATTACATTGCATCTAGACACTGGTTTTGTTGCATCACGTGTCTATTCCATGCTATGATTTCATAGAACCGCATCTTGAACTTAAGATCTGTGTCTGCTACTCCACGACCGTTACTGTCGCATAGCAATATTCTATGTCAAAATAATAAAATATCATCTTTGACGGTAGACATCTTTGTTTCATGGCTGTATAACCACTTTGTGGATGGGTCATGTGAGCCAAAACTTAGGACTAACTCCATAAAAAAATATCCAAATGTTGGACAATATTTTCTTTATTTTCACCAGAAATTAAAGTAAACATTCAAATATTAGAACGGCTCATGCTCAGACATAATAGACATTCATTATTATATTTAAAATGATCTGCTCCCGAATATTCTCTCTCTCTCTCTGTCTCTCTCTCTCTCTCTCTCTCTCTCTCTATATATATATATATATATATATATATATATATATATATATATATATATGAATTATTAATAATTCTTTATTGCAAAAACAGGATCATAACTTTATGGATAAACATGTGATATACTGATTGTTTTACTTGAGTCACAGGCGGGATGAATCTTTATATCTCGGGTTAAAAATAAACAAAAAAATCAAAACAAAAAGCAAAGAAAAACAAAAAGCAAATAACGAGGTTCAATTACGAAACTAATTCATTTGCGAGAGAAGCAAACATGTATTTTGTAATGTATTATTTGCTTTAATCCCTTTTATTTGGGGATTTATTCATTGCTGGATATTAAAATATATTTGACATTTAAAAATAATCTGGAAGGAAGAAAATTTGCGTCAGAAAAAAAATGTAATGATTTGAAATAATAAAAATAATAATATAGAAAAAAGTGTAAAAGTAAATAAAGAAAGAAAGAATGAAAGGGAGAGAGGAAGAAAGAAAATGTTAAGTGATTGAAAAAAAATTAATAAAGGCGGGAATCATAAAGAAGTTGATGGAATGAAAAAGGAAAATTAAAATATGAAGAAAGAAAGAACGATAAAGAAATTGAAAAAGTTTAAGCAGAAAGAATGAAAGGAATAAGGAAAAAGGTAAAGAGAAAGTAAAAGAAAGAATGTTGAAGAAATAATAATACAAAATGAGTGAAAGAAAAACAGAGGAAGTTGAAGTAAAGCAACAAGGAAAAAACTGAAGAAAGAAAAATAGAAAAAAAGGATACACCTTTCAAGAAGTAACGTAAGAGGAAAGAAATAGGAACAAAGAAAGACAAAGGAAGAAAGAAAGGAATAAAAAAGAAAGAAAAAGGAAGAAATAAAAAGGAAAAGAAGGAGGAAAGAAAAAGGAAGAAAAGAAAAAATGGAAGGAAGAAAGAAAAAAAGAAAGAAAAACGAAAAAAAAAAAAAAAAGAAAAAAAAGGAAAAAGAAAAAATGGAAGGAAGAAAAAAAAAAAAAAAGAAAAACGAAAAAGGAAAAAGGAAAAAAAAGGAAGAAAGAAAATGGAAGGAAGAAAGAAAAAAAGAAAAAAAACGAAAAAAGAAAAAAGGAAGAAAAAAGGAAGAAAGAAAAATGGAAGGAAGAAAGAAAAAAGAAAGAAAAACGAAAAAAGAAAAAAGGAAGAAAAAAGGAAGAAAGAAAAATGGAAGGAAGAAAGAAAAAAGAAAGAAAAACGAAAAAAGAAAAAAGGAAGAAAAAAGGGAGAAAGAAAAATGGAAGGAAGAAAGAAAAAAGAAAGAAAAACGAAAAAAGAAAAAAGGAAGAAAAAAAGAAGAAAAAAGGAAGAAATAAAAATGGAAGAAAGAAAGAAAAAAGAAAGAAAAACGAAAAAAGAAAAAAGGAAGAAAAAAGGAAGAAAGAAAAATGGAAGGAAGAAAGAAAAAGAAAGAAAACGAAAAAAGAAAAAAAAGGAAGAAAAAGGAGAAAGAAAATGGAAGGAAGAAAGAAAAAAAAAGAAAAACGAAAAAAGAAAAAGGAAGAAAAAGAAAGAAAAAGGAAGAAATAAAATGGAAGAAAGAAAGAAAAAAAAAGAAAAACGAAAATAGAAAAAAAAGGAAGAAAAAAAGGAAGAAAAAAGGAAGAAAGTAAAATGGAAAGAAAGAAAAAGAAAGAAAAAGGAAGAAATAAAAAGGAAAAGAAGGAGGAAAGAAAAAGGAAGAAAGAAAAAATGGAAGGAAGAAAGAAAAAGAAAGAAAACGAAAAAGAAAAATGGAAAAAAAAAAAGGAAGAAAGAAAAATGGAAGGAAGAAAGAAAAAAAAAAGAAAAACGAAAAGGAAAAAGGAAGAAAAAGGAAGAAAGAAAATGGAAGGAAGAAAGAAAAGAAAAAAAGAAAAAACGAAAAAAAAAAAAGGAAGAAAAAAAATGAAGAAAGAAAAATGGAAGGAAGAAAGAAAAAGAAAGAAAAACGAAAAAAAAAAAAGGAAGAAAAAAAAAAAGAAAGAAAAAATGGAAGGAAGAAAGAAAAAGAAAGAAAAACGAAAAAAAAAAAGGAAGAAAAAGGAAGAAAGAAAAAATGGAAGGAAGAAAGAAAAAAGAAAGAAAAACGAAAAAAAAAAAAAAGGAAGAAAAAGGAAGAAAGAAAAAATGGAAGGAAGAAAGAAAAAGAAAGAAAACGAAAAAAGAAAAAAAAAAGAAAAAAGGAAGAAAGAAAAAATGGAAGGAAGAAAGAAAAAAGAAAGAAAAACGAAAAAAGAAAAAAGGAAGAAAAAAGGGAGAAAGAAAAATGGAAGGAAGAAAGAAAAAAGAAAGAAAAACGAAAAAAGAAAAAAGAAAGAAAAAGGAAGAAATAAAAAGGAAAAGAAGGAGGAAAGAAAAAAGGAAGAAAGAAAAATGGAAGGAAAAAAGAAAAAAGAAAGAAAAACGAAAAAAGAAAAAAGGAAGAAAAAAGGAAGAAAGAAAAATGGAAGGAAGAAAGAAAAAAGAAAGAAAAACGAAAAAAGAAAAAGGAAGAAAAAAGGAAGAAAGAACAAAGAAGGAAGACAGAGAAAGAACGAACTGGCAGATGTCAGAATGAAAAAAAGAACGAAATACGATGATAGGAAAAATGTACAAGAAGTTGGAAAGACAATGAAATAAATCAGGAATATAAAGAAAAAAAATGAACGAAGGAAAGAAAGAAAGAAAGTAAGAAAGAAATCAAATGACTGGGTGCTGTATTAAGAATTCCGAAATACGATGAAAAGAATAAAGTGGACATGGTTGGAAAAGTAAAAGAAATAAACCACGAATATGATGAAAGAAAAAAAGAAAGAAGAAAATAATAAATAAATAAATAAATAAATAAATAAATAAAGAACGAAAGAAAGAAAGAAAGAAATAAAGCAAATGACTGGCTGTTGTATTAAGAATTCCGAAATATGGTGAAAAGAATAAAGTGGACATGGTTGGAAAAGTAAAGAAATAAATCACGAATATGATGAAAGAAAGAAAGAAAGAAAGAAAGAAAGAAAGAAAGAAAAGAAAGAAAGAAAGAAAGCAAGCAAATGACTGGGTGCTGTATTAAGAATTCCGAAATACGATGAAAAGAATAAAGTGGACGTGGTTGGAAAAGTAAAAGAAATAAATCACGAATATGATGAAAGAAAGAAGAAAATAAATAAATAAATAAATAAATAAATAAATAAATACAGAAAGAAAGAAAGAAAGAAAGAAAGCAAATGACTGGCTGTTGTATTAAGAATTCCGAAATATGGTGAAAAGAATAAAGTGGACATGGTTGGAAAAGTAAAGAAATAAATCACGAATATGATGAAAGAAAGAAAAAAAAAGAAAGAAAGAAAGAAAGAAAGAAAGAAAGAAAGAAAGAAAGAAAGAAAGAAAGCAAGCAAATGACTGGGTGCTGTATTAAGAATTCCGAAATACGATGAAAAGAATAAAGTGGACGTGGTTGGAAAAGTAAAAGAAATAAATTACGAATATGATGAAAAAAAGAAAGAAAAAAAAGAAAGAAAGAAAGAAAGAAAGAAAGAAAGAAAGAAAAGAAAGAAAGTAAATGACTAGCTTTTCTATTAAGTATTCCGAAATACGATGAAAAGAATAAAGTGGACATGGTTGGAAAAGTAAAAGAAATAAATCACGAATATGATGAAAGAAAGAAAGAAGAAAATAAATAAATAAATAAATAAATAAATAAAGAAAGAAAGAAAGAAAGAAAGAAAGCAAATGACTGGCTGTTGTATTAAGAATTCCGAAATATGGTGAAAAGAATAAAGTGGACATGGTTGGAAAAGTAAAGAAATAAATCACGAATATGATGAAAGAAAGAAAAAAAGAAAGAAAGAAAGAAAGAAAGAAAGAAAGAAAGAAAGCAAGCAAGCAAATGACTGGGTGCTGTATTAAGAATTCCGAAATACGATGAAAAGAATAAAGTGGACGTGGTTGGAAAAGTAAAAGAAATAAATCACGAATATGATGAAAGAAAGAAAGAAAGAAAGAAAGAAAGAAAGAAAGAAAGCAAGCAAGCAAATGACTGGGTGCTGTATTAAGAATTCAAAATACGATGAAAAGAATAAAGTGGACGTGGTTGGAAAAGAAAAAGAAATAAATCACGAATATGATGAAAGAAAGAAAGAAAGAAAGAAAGAAAGAAAGAAAGCAAATGACAGGCTATTCTATTAAGAATTCCGAAATACGGTGAAAAGAATAAAGTAGACATGGTTGGAAAAGTAAAGAAATAAATCACGAATATGATGAAAGAAAGAAAGAAACAAACAAACAAAGAATCTGAAATAAAAAAAAGGAAGATGGAGACGAAACGAAAGTAACAAAAAATAAATTCAAAAGTTAAAAAGAAAAACAAGGAAATCAATAATATGATTGAGGGAGAAAAAAAACCCAAAATTTTGCTAAAATATCACAAATAAAAAAAAATTAAATCTATAGATTAGCTGATAAGATTTAGCAAACAAATAGAAAAATTATCAGGCATATTAAATAAATAATGTCTGAAATTCATTCTAGCGTTGAACATTTGTGCACAGTCTTCTGATGGTGTAAAGTTAAAACCATCAAGTAATAAAACGTGTAAGTTTGTAAGTAGCGTAAGCAAATAAATGTTCAGATTCCCAAGAGAACTGAAATAAAATACGCAATATCAAAGCAAAAGTGACAGTCCAATTCGTCTTTCATTTATTCTTGTATTTGTCATAATTCTTTAAGTAAGAACACAGAACTAAAGAATTTCTATAACGAGTGACAACAGTGTTGTCAGATCTGCTATGAGTTATTGTTATTTAACAGAAATGGAAAAAATGGTACGTGTTGTCAGTCTGGTAGAAACAAGTAAACTTTAGCTAAATACATCTCATTATTATTGACTTATTAAAAAATGGCACACTTACTAGTAGTAGTAGTAGTAGTAATCGGTATCCGCTACCATAATTATTCCTTTTCTCCTCTCTGGTGGCAGTGGAGGAAATGGCTGGGAAGGCTCAGCTTATTCCTGAAAAATAGTGAACAGGAATCAAAGAGGAGTGTTGGTGGTGTTTGCGGCTGGACGAGACGGACCCTCCTGGTAGCACTTCACAGATTTTCATCATGTTGACGATTGGACACGAAAATCTCGTTTCCCCGTCGAATGGTGCTACACCAAGAAGGCCGATTTGCAGCAACGGTTTCACACACTGATGGCCTACAGCCGAAATTAAATTATAGCAAGTATCCCCAAAACTCTCTATTTATTTTAACCTTTTTCAATAATTCCATCATAAGTTTTAGCTTTTCTGTTTATTTTTATTGTCTTCTGGACCATTCACAGTGCTCCTGTAATAACTGGAATGACAGTCACCTTCTTCTCAGAATGTGAATGTCCTTTGTTGGATTTAGGCCTTCCCAGATACATGAGTAGGAATGGGACATTAATACGCTGGCCTAATGCCTGTTAGTATGGGCAGGTATGACATGCTTGGGGGATCATATCTCTTTTCATTTAATTAACCTGCAAACTACTGTAAAATACGAATCAATAAAATAAATTGATTCATAAACAATCGAGGGTATAATAGACGCGATTGAAATTCGAACTCGGGTATCTGATTTTCAATTCTAAGCCGTTATCCACCGCGCCACAAGCCCATTCAATATTGGGTCACCTGTTATGCCCAAGCGGTGTTTAATTTAAGACTGACTTAGCAGAAGTAGGCTGCCATGAGATGAGAGCAGTTTCCAATCAAGGCTTTAGGACCCAGTCTGGCTATTTAAACCATTGCTGAGCGGGAAATGAGATGGCTACACACCTACCGCAATGGTTTCTCAGCGTAACCGCATGTAAGGAACTCGACTGGAAATCGAATCCAGCTCTCCACATTCTCCTCCTGAACCATTATCCATCAAATCAATCGCACATCCAAGCTTACCTCACTCGATATTCCCAAGCGGGAACCCATCTAAATACCACCAGGCTCAACATTCCTTAACTACGGTGATCTGACGAGAATTGGTGTTTCAACGTGATTTGGCCGAAAGGTTACTGCTGTTATATACTCCAAATACAAGCATGATGGTCCGAACAGCAAATTATATTAGGTAATTTCTTCACCTAAAAAATGATGGCCAAATTCTCTTGTTACCACCTATTAAAACCAGGTCTTCAGGCTTGAAAATTGTAAGACGTTTGAACTTCACTCTAACAGAGGATATTGCTTCATTCTTTTGGACAAACTCTCGTCTATGCATATAGCAATGTTCTGAGTATTTAAAGTATAGTCGCTTGCTCAATTTTTCCTTTCCCACCCAATCATGTGTATTCTACTATTCTTTCTCGTATAATTTGTTACTTTCGATGATCCTAGAGATTAATTCAGTGTAGCTTAGACGAAAGTATGGCGGCCCCAACATGACGTGGATCGAATTAACTTTTCAGCGAGAGATGATTGATACCACATCGAACATCCCAATAGTGACTTACTAAACGTAGCTTAACTGTGACAAAAGACCAAAATTTACATTATTCGGACTATTGTCCTCATCTTTGTCGCCATATTTATCACAATGTTTCGCCCATTGTACGCTCCGGCCTTCTTCTGAACCCTTTATTTCGTTCACTGGGGTAGACTGTTCTAGTTCCACGTGCCATGTTTAATGGATGTCAGTTATCAATTATCTACTGCTAATTCCCCTTTCCAAATTCTCCTCCACCTTAACCAGGTATTGAACTCACACTCCTTGTGTCTTGTCACTGGATCTGAACAAACGCCTTTATCCACTGTGCCATGTGTCCTTGAGTGCTCATATTGCAATTTTTGTTGTTATGGATTCGTATTTTTACCAGAGCTCATATTGCAATTTTTGTTGTTATGGATTCGTATTTTTACCAGAGCTCATATTGCAATTTTTGTTGTTATGGATTCGTATTTTTACCAGAGCTCATATTGCAATTTTTGTTGTTATTATCGCTTTTCTCTGGCACTATTATTACTGGTTCCCATAATATAAATAGTGTACATAATATCTCATCTCAGAAAGATAGACAGATACTGAAGTCAAAAATTATGGAGCAGCCTATGAGGATCGAACTCACTAATCAAAATTAGTCTACCGAGTCAAGCTTAATAAACATTACATCACGTCAAAGTACTCTAAAATGAGCTTATAAGCGTAGTTTAGACGCGGAACAAGGCCTGAAATGTGGAGCATTCGGTGAGAATTAAACTTACTGTTCTTTTACAGTTGATCTAGCTAGACAAGCTATTACACTACTACTAGATTAGCTGATTATATGGTTAAATGTTTTGCATTAATTTCCGCCCAGGTGGAATTTGCTATTTTTCTGAGCAATTTCACATGGATTTAAAGGAACAATCTTTGCATTCAGTGTCTTTCAAACAAACTAACTGCAAGGTCAGCCTTAGTAGTGACCTCATGGTCGTCTGGTACATCCATATTTACGTGATTGGCCAAGCTGTGTTTGGTATAGGAGCTTGTGAAAAAGTCATACTAAAAGCAAACTTATACATATATATCCACATCAGTATGCAGATCAGGAGACATCTCCCAGATACCGTAATCGACAATGTAATGTCCACGTGTCGTATGAGGACCTGCGCCACACACACACACAGAGAGAGAGAGAGAGAGAGAGAGAGAGAGAGAGAGAGAGAGAGAGAGAATAATTGGCAAATCCTGGATTTGAACTAAACATAATTTTACTTATGAGATTCAATTTGATGTTTTTTATTTTAAATGCTCAGCGAGATTTCATTATATATATATATATATATATATATATATATATATATATATATATATATATATATATATATATATATATATATCTATACCCTCTTTTACTAATTATTAAGTCAAGACCCAAGATTCACCCAAGGTAGATGCTTCCTAAACGTGGTCATTGTATGTACGTAAGAAAAGGAGTGAGAAAGTCCATATTATGCAATTATACAGGAATGATATCGGTTGACACTAAACTAGAAAAGATTAAGATTTTAGTGATCGGGGAAGCTCCTTATTGCAAATCTGATCCTTAAAATAGTGAGTAGAGTGATGCTTGCAATATTTCGTCTCTTGGAAAGTTGCTACAGAATAGAAAATAAAGAGACAAGAAGGCGCTTTCGAATAAAATCCAGCCGGAGGACTGAGCAAGTTCACACTGCACATGGCATTAATACTCCATTTTCCGACTGATCTGCCTACTTGTACAGATAGACAATTAATGGCGTTTTCCCTTCAACTGTGACTCTCCTTGGAGATGAAATGAGATCATATCTTTTAATTATCCAGTATTCTCCACACAGTTATTGTTTATGTAATGAAGTGAATATTGGCTTAAACGCGTTGATAAAAAATGTTTCTTTATTAATACGCTTTTGTTTGGTGATTTTGCCGTCGCGTTGGTAGAAGTAGATGTGAAAATCTGGCAGATTTCGTCCTCTGCATTCCTCTATATGTTGGGTAAAGGGTATCTTTCTGGTGCGGTGATCGCTTATTTGGCGACGAACTATCTTCTTTTGTCGGGGTGTCTGGGCCCTCTGGCCAATGTAATGTTCGTGACAACGTTTGCATATTATTGTTATATATTAAATTCTCTGAGTTGCGTTTTCACTTCAACTGTGACTCTCCTTGGAGATGAAATGAGATCATATCTTCTAATTATCCAGTATTCCCCATACAGTTATTACTGTCATTTGAGCGGTTTTAATTGTTCTTGGATATCCGGAGCTTCCTCACTATTAATACTGTGACCTGGACAATTTTCAACCAGTCCTGGATTTATGGGGGTTCCTCACAGTTATTGCTGTCGTCTGAGCAGTTTCAATTTTCTTGCATTTCTGGGGTTTCCTCACAATTATTGCTGTCGTTTAAGCGATTTCAACTGCTCCTGGATTCCCTGGGTTTACTCACAGTTATTGCTGTCGCCTAAGCAGTTTTAACTATTTCAGATACCCGGAGTTTCCTCATATTTATTGCTGTCGTCTGAGAGGTTTCACGTGTTCCAGGAATTCTGGAGTTTCCTCAAAATTATTTCTGCTGTCTGAGTGCTTTCAGCTGTTCCTTCATATCCCGGGTTTTCTCACAGTTATTGCTGTCGTCTGAGATGCTTCAAATGTGTTTGGATCTCCAGTGCATGCAAACTGTTATTGCTATCGTCTGAGCGGTTTCAAATGTTCCTGGATTTCCTGGGTTTCCTCACAGTTATTGCTTCTGTCTGAGCGGTTTCAACCGTTCCAGGATACACGGGGTTTCCTTACAGTTATTGCTATCGTCTGAGCAGTTTCAACTGTTCCAGGATACACGGGGTTTCCTCATACGTATTGCTGTCGTATGAGCTGCTTCGATTGTTTTTGGATCTCGGGGGCTTCCTGAATGTTGTTGCTGTCGTCTGAGCGGTTTTAACTGTTCCAACAATTCTGTAGTTTCCTTATAGTTATTGCTGTCGTCTGAGCGCTTTCAACTGTTCTTTCATTTCCCGGGTTTTCTCACAGTTATTGCTGTCGCCTGAGCTGTTTCATTTGTTTTTGTATCTCCAGGGCTTCCAAATTGTTATTGCTATCATCTGAGAGGTTTCAAATGTTCATGGATTTTCTGCGTTTCCTCTCAGTTATTTCTGTCTCCTAAGCGGTTTCAACTGTTCCGGGATACGCGGGGTTTCCTCATATTTATTGCTGTCGTCTGAGCTACTTCGATTGTTTTTGAATCTCCGGGACTTCCTCACAGTTATTGCTGCTGTCTGAGCGGTTTCAACTGTGCCTTCATTTCCCGAGTTTTCTTACAGTTATTGTTCTCGCCTGAGAGGTTTCAATTATTCCGGGATTTCCCAGGTTACCTCACAGTTATGATGTCGTCTGAGCGGTTTCATTTTTTTGTAGTTTTCCAGTATTAATTGTTTAGGTGTTTCCTCACTGTTATTTTTGTCGTATAAGTGATTTCGATTGTTTAGAAACAGTTATCAAGCTTCTGGTGGAATTTTGTAACACTTCCGTTAATGATAGCACCACCTTACACTTAACCTTAGATTTGTTAAGATCTATATTGTAATATTTGTGAAAACGTCCAACCGGATGTCTGTTGCTAACAAGGGAGCAGTTCTTGAGAAGAAATTGTCCAAGTAAAACTTTCTTTCTTATTAATGGATTACGAAGGGAATACTGATTATATACTCTTGTGCACGTGGCATGGTGGGGTTTAATATTCTGCTTTTCAATGATCGATGTTGAAAAATCTTCGAATCTAAATAGTTTGCAGAGTTCCTAGTCAATAATAGCTCCTCCCCAGTCATATTTGCTTTGCCCGTCTGAGTATCTGTTTACTATGGTCAATTACATGCTATACAAAGAAATTTGTCATTGTCTCCAAACAGATCACTTTGGGACTTTCAGTTCTGGGATTTTTTTCCAGTATACATGTATGCGGTCTAAAGAGTGATATTCATATTGTTAACGCAGTGTGTGTCCAATTTATATCATGATATTAACAAATGTTAAAGGGTTATTAACAATGGTGTTTACGCTGTACAAAGCCCAAGAGCCTCTCGAAGTAGAAGATTATAGCGCAAGAGGCAGATTTTACATGGATACGTGGGAAATATAACGTTTAACTCTAGCGTTGAACAGGTTATGTTTGCAGTGATAGGAGATGCATCTTCGGTTCCACAAAGCAGTGGTTCATGGCAATAAGCTACTCGAGTGGAATTTACATTTCTCCAGTGGAATAGAAAGGAGATGCCAATCCCTGGTCGTCTGATCTTTTTGAGAGGCACCCATATATAGTTTCATGAAAAGAGATAAAATTACAGACAATACAGTACATATAAAAACAGTCTAAGTCTCGCTCTCTCTGTTTTCCTCTTAACACAAAGATGGCGTAGGGTATTGACCTGTCTCATTTACCCTTCGGGAGTCTTATTAATCCCTAGTGAACTGCGTGTCAGATTTTGCACATTACAGCAAACTAATAGAAACATAACAGGTAATCTAATTTTATAATCACCAAACTAAAAAAGAACGCTTCTCCAATGTACATTTCTCAACATATTCAATAAGGCTACGGCCGCGTCATATTGAAACACTGGTGCCCGTACGCAAGCAAGGTCGAGTCAGTACTTAGATGCGTTTAGATTCTGTTTAGGAATGCCAAGTGCAGTAAGTCTGGGTGTGCGAAGGGTGTAATTAATAATAGCTAGAAAATTTTAATCTGAGTGTCAAGTTCTAAATTCAGCTGGGTTCGTTATATACGCACACGCACAAATACCCTTGGGAAATCCAATTATTCTTCCATTCCAGTTATGAGCTAATTAGTAGGACTTGTATCACTAAATGATTATTATCTCAAATAATATCTTACAATCTAAAAATATTTGCTGGCTTTAAATAACATACAAAGGATCGATAAGCCGTCGAAAACGAATCAATCATTGTTTTACTCTTTGGAAAGTTGTCAATTGAACCTCTTCCAATGACGGCAATTACCGATTTCTTTTTCTTTCCATATACAGCACCACTTTATAGTTTGTAACCTCTCTAGACATGATGAGAATATAGCATTAAATCCATTAACTGTTCATGCAAACAGTAATCTTTAAGATAGACATTCCAAATAAGGAAGGCGTATCACATGTTATACGTCATATACTATTAGGCAATCGTGTTTCCTTCGATTCAGGACTGACTAGGTAGAACATTTTCGGTTCGGTTCGTTTTACGGTATATAAGCCAAAACGGGCTATTTAATACCTACTAAGATTTTATTACTGGTAATATTTCTTTTTATCAAAAATTTATTTCTGGTAATATTTTTTTCTTCAAAAAATCTATTTCTGGTAATATATTTTACTTTTCTTTTTTTCAAAAATGTATTGCTGGTAAAAATTTCTAGTATTAAAACCTATTTTAACACTTTCATAGTCATTTTAGCCCGGTTTGGGGATAACTATTTGCCCATAGCTGGGGCCCTAACAGGTGCTACCACACTTAGTTAGGGTGGCCCTGGGAACACCAGCAATTAAGAGGTGGTTCCATGCTTCTCAAAACCTCCTGACCAGAGGCCTTGCTGTTGGACATAGTTTATCGTCTTACCCAGGACGCGGATGTAGTTTATCGTCTTACCCAGGATGCGGATGTAGTTAATCGTCTTACCCAGGATGCGGATGTAGTTAATCGTCTTACTCAGGACGGTAGAACATGAACCCGCAGTAGTTTTTCGTTTCTTTCTGCGGTAGACTTGAAGGCTATAAGGCCAAGTCTGTTTTGCTATTCAACCCATAGCGGGGAGGAGATATGGATTCACATCATTGTTAAGGGTATTTGCACGTATGCCAATGTAACAAACCCGACCGGAATTTGAGCTCCATATTCATGGCCGATTTATTAAAAAAGGGATCGATTTCATCCACACTTTAAATCTGATACGTACAAGATTACGTAACCCACACCCCTCTGCATTAGTCAAGTCAAGTAGGTGATAAATTCATCCGAAAAAAATTGGGGGTGCTTAATTATTAAATTTAATCTAGCCAATCAAATGAGACATCCTTAGGAAACTGGGTGGGCAACAGAGATTAAAAGAGAGGGATAAAAAAAGCTCAGCTAATGTGATGCTAATATATAGCCTCATAAATCGACAATTCAGAGAGGAATGGCTATATCTGCGCACATCAGTGTGGGAAAAGCTATAATGCCATATATGAAA